ACAGATGCTTAAATGAAAATCCTAAAATACCATGCATATTTTTCTCATTTATCAAATTTTCAATTTTATTATTTATTTGTTGGATTTAATATATTTTATTAAACAATTTCAACCCAATTTTTTATTCATTCGGATTTTTATTATATTTATTATATTCGGTATTTTTCATGCATGTTTAATGAATATAAAATTGATTTCTATAAACTTGGCACGCGCTAAGCCGGATAATAAGTCAGTCCTCATTTTTTTTTTTGTTTCATTCTACTTTCCAACTTGACCGCAGTTTCGCGTTTTTCTACCCTTTCTTTTTTTTTTTTTTTTTTTTTTTTTTTGTCTCCATGTCATGGATTTCTACACGCACACAAACGAAACCACAGTGGCAATTTTTTCATTTTTTGTGTGCTTGCTGCAGCCAAGTTTAGTGCTGGGCGTGTGCGGGGCTTTTGATTTATGGTTTCGTATGTTGCGAGCTGGGTTTTTTATGTTAATTAAATTGCGTTGGCTGGCCAAATGGAGTGCCGGTTACCGTACACTGCACTCGAGTCGCCAAATGGGTGTACACACACATTCTCTGGGTGGGAGATTCAACCGGAAGGAGATGGGGCTGGGGCTGGGGATGGGGGTTCGTATATGGTATGTTCCGGCCACGTAGTGCAAACAAATGAACTGCACCGGCATTTACAGTGATTACTGCTGCCTGGTCTGGACCTACTCCTTAAATGCTGTTGACCCAGCCGAGCAGCAGCAGGCGGTGGCAGCAGGAGTAGGCAATAGGCGGTAGGCAGCAGGCAGCAGGAGTAGGCAGCCTGCAATGCTTATTAGAAATTCCATTATGTGTAGCATACTTATGTGCGTCCATGTGCTCCTTCTGTCAACATAAGCCCGCAACGAGTCAGGTGTTGTCTTTGTGCACGCCTCAATGGCTGGCGGGACGATACACACGCTCTCCCCCTGGTTCATTTAGAGCGGTATATGCACGCCTCCCGTTTCGGTGTTGCGGCTGCCGTTTTGCACTGCTGTGCATGATAAATCTTTCAATATGCTGCCTAGGCAACAGCAGCAGTTGCAGGGGGAGCAGGAGGAGCAGGAGCAGTGTCGACGATGCCGGGTAAACATGTCAAGTAGCAGCAGCAGCAACAATATTCATTTGAATTTGCAACAAAAGCCTATTAAATACCAAAACAATACTCCATCCAACACACCCCCACACACACTCCACACACACACCCACTCACACCCCCACACACACATGCCTGTACATATATAGATACGTTCCATGTCATGCTTGGGCCTTGTCGTCTGTTTGCTTTTGACTCTTGCACGCGAGTGAGTCCACAAATTATTATGCAGTGATAAATATGCCCACATTTCATTTGTTTCAGCCAATCACCCGCCCAGCCCTCGCCACCGCCCCCTACTCCTCCTCCGCCTGCACACCATCTGTTTCAATTTATTTATGGCAGGACCTGGTACAGTGAATACTGCCTGTTGCTCTAACGCACAGCAATCTGTATTGTTTCTAAAAAAATCCCAGCTTTTTCTGCTATCATGCGAGCTATTTATTGCCCAAAGCTATTCTCGTCAGGGCTTTGGTAGCATCATTGATAGAGTATGCAAACTCAGCTGGCAGCGCCTTTTATTGCTGTTTACTATATTTAAGTTTGTAAACGAGGAAATCTATGCTTAGCAGCAACAATTGATAGGTGCTCTTGCGAAGTTCGCCTGAGACTTTAACTGAATTGAGCAGAGGTATACGCATATGTGTATTGTGTTTATCGATCATTTGAGTCTGTGTTCACTTCAATCTTCCTCTTTTTATGTACTCCACACAACAAGCAAAGCAAAGTCCACAAATGGCAGTCACAGTTTTCCTTTTTTCTTTTTTTTTTTTGCTTGCCAGCAATGCAAACAAATTCGAAAAGTTTTCCAGCAGCAACTACTGGCAACAACAAAAGCCAGCAGGTGAATCCCAAAAAAGTAGAATGAAAGCAAAAAATATTGGCATCTAACTTTTCAATTCAGTATCACTTGCGGTTTTAACGAACCTGACGTTTTGCTCCGTTGCGGCCAGACGAGTCCCGCAATGACGCACTCTAGCATGATTGAAAAACAATAAAGGGAGCAAAAAGCGGTCAGTACTCCCCCATCCTGCCTTGCTGAACTGCCGAAATAGTAGCTGCTAGATGCCAAGAAACTGTGCTGAAAACGGCGTGAAAACTGTTTACCTTTGGACAAACGCTGACTGAGTCCGGGGAATATTTCTGGACCAGCGGGCAATGCAAGTATAACAAAAACAAGCAGCGCGCTGCATTGATACTGGCAACAGTGGCTGAATGGGCGGGGTTGGCGGCGGTAAGGGGATCAGGCGCTCGGAACTGGGACCCAGGGAGTTGTGTGTTGTTCGGCTTGTAAACAAATCGCAAAAGGATAAGGCCAATGCACTTGTAAGCAAGCACTTAGTCGAATCGAGTAAATATGTAAGTTTTGCACAAACTTTTTACCTGATGTGCGCACACCAACACGCACACACACACAAATGCGTGTGTGTGTGTGTGCAGATTTAGAGAAATTGTTTGAGTTTTTGTAGAGCGCGCCCTGCTGTGTCCTATGATTTCTAGCTGCTCGAGCAAACCACATACTAACAAGCAAAACTTTTGCGAGCAATAAGCAAGAATTTGCGGTTGCTTTCACAGCTCCCGGTCGAAGTTGTTGCACTCCACTTTGCAATTTCAATTATCGGAAGAACAAGGTTTTCATTTTCGATTTCGATTTCCGTGTGCAGCGTTGCAGGAGAGGGTCATCGCCGGGGAGCTTGGTCAGCGGCTCATTAAGGCCATACATAGTGTAATGATGCCATCGCAAAAATTGCTAAAAGAAGAGCTGAACAAAGATATAATGAAACTCATACATCGGCCGCATACCATGCATAATAAGCAGATGCAGACCCTGTTGCCCTTGCCCCAAATATGCAAACAACTCCCAAAGGTAATTTATAACTTGCAGCTGCTATATCAAACAGCAACAACAACCAGAGCAGCAGCAGCAGAAAACAACTGCTGAAAAAGAGAAAAAAAATGAAAACAATTTTATTTTATTTACCTCGCGAGATATTCACACACCGTCCCCGATGAAAGGCGAGTTCCTGGTTCTCAGCTTTCGGCACTGGGCGCTCGGTGCTCGCCGCTTGGCTCTCGGAGGGACTACGGCAAAGCCGCAAATGATGTGCCATTATTCTTAAGGGTACAGCCGCACGAAGTGTGACCCAAATAAGATATAAAAATTTTGAGTGGCTTGTTAGGCCATGTCCCGCTGCTTGTAAACAGCCAAGTGGCTTGCCTTGGCGCCCTGAATTATGCTACGCATTTGTTGACAAACGACTTTCGAATGGGCGGCCATAAAGTTGCCGGAAATTGGCGTTGATTGCGCCGCAATTAATAAAAGTTTCAGTGCAAGCAAACAGGCAAAGCCTTACTCTAAATTTTATAATTGTATTAATTAGGATCGCGGCGTGTACTAGGCCCACCTAGAAAGAAATTTAAGCTGAGCACGGGAATGTTTAAGTTTTGGTATAAGTTTATTCATGTATTACACGAATAAATTAAATAAATACCTAGCATTTTTTATTCATTATGATGTGTTATTATTAAAAATTAATGAATGAATTTTGAATATTATTAATTAGCTATTATTAACGAACTATAATTATTTGTAATTAGCTAGTTCTCTTTGATGTACACACAATTACACACGAGCACAAATGCGCTTGGTCTGCAAAGTTAGCTCATGAAAGCAACACGTGAGGTGTTTGCCAGAACTTAGACTTGGAGCAGGCGCTAAAAGTAATATAAATAGTTGCTCAAGTTATAAATAGACATTGCTGAAGTGTGGTACATACGCAGCTTTGATATAGCAACCAAGGTATCTTGGGTCTTAGATCTAATAAACAATCAGCCCCATAGCACTGTGAGCTCTCCTCTTGGCTTAACATATCTGCCAGGAGACTCTGCCACAGCAGAAGTCAGCAAGGGCTCAGTAGACTCTAGAGGATATATACAAGTATAGTATGTATAATAAAGCCTTAACTACAATAGAAAAAAATAATAATAATAATAATAATAATAATAATAATAATAATAATAATACATAAATACATAAAATAAGATAAATAAATAACTAAATAAATAAATAAATAAATATCTAAATATATAACTAAATAAATAAATAAATAAATAAAAATAAATAAATTATTAAAATTAATAAATAAATAAACAAATAAATAAATAAATAAATAAATAAAATTAAATAAATAAAATAAATTAATAAATAAATAAACAAATAAATAAATAAACTAATAAATAAATAAATAAATAAATAAACAAATAAATAAATAAATAAATGAAAAGCGGCATCTTATCATCCACTATTTTAGTTCAGGTTCTGATATAGCCACAATAAACTACAAAATTATTTAAATAAATAATTATAAATAAATAAATAAATACATAAATAAATAAATAAATAAATACATAAATAAATAAATACATAAATAAATAAATAAATAAATAAATAAACAAATAAATAAAAAAATAAATAAATAAATAAAATAAATAAATAAAAAATAAATAAATTAAAAGCGGCATTTTATTATCCACTATTTTAGTTCAGGTTCTGATATAGCCACAGTAAACTACAAAATTATTTAAATAATTAAAAATAAAGTCTAGTTTAAAATATAAATAAAATAGTTGAAGTATAAAATATAAAGTCTAGCCTAAAATAGAAATAAAATAATAATATTTAATTTGAATTATAAAACATAAGAAATATAATTGTATATAAAATATATACATATATACATATATAATTATCTACTCATAAAGTATATTTCAAAATCTGTAAGCTTCTTGAATTTATTTTAAATTTTTTGCTCGTCATGCTGCTGTTTAAATAAAGGGACTTCTCATTTTATTCATGTGGATTTTTCGCTTGTTTCGTTTCAGAGCTGGTCGAGTGTGCGCTGCGAAATGTCAATTTAATCATTGAACCACCGGCGGTGCGGCAGGGCCAGCATGTGGTGCTGCGCTGCATGTACGATCTGGAGGGGGCGCCGCTCTACTCGGCCAAGTTTTATCGCGGTCAATTGGAGTTCTATCGCTATACGCCCGGCGAGTTCCCCAATACAAAAGTGTTTCCATTTCCGGGCATACACGTCGATGTAAGTAAAACAAATATCGGAGCGTAAAAAGCTTTACAGCGTCAAATTGTTCCACTTTTTAAGCGCCCTCAACTCGGCTCTGGCAGCTTGTTAACGTTGCATGCAAATGCAGCTGGCGATCTGTCCAGCTGTCGAGGCTGGCCGTCACCTGGCCACGCCCACAGTTGCCATGACTCCTCCGGCAGTGGAGCTGACGCCCTTAATTGCGCTCACACTGCATTTATTTATATTGTATATTTTATAACTTTTGGCTCATGCATATTCAGTTTGGCAGTTTTATTGTTATTGGCGGGTATTCAAAAAAGCCAGTTCCTGCCAAGACACCTGCGACTGCCGCAGCTGCTGGCCTGAATGCCACGAAGCTATCGGCAGCGACTATCTACAAAATATTTTCATTTAAATTTTTGTGTGGCAGCGTCTGAAATTTCGGTCGTTTCACGTGAAAGTGGCAACGGCGTCCCGCAACCCGCTACCCGCAACCCCATCTCTCTGCCCTCGCCCGATAATATTGCTCTGGCCATATTATTGAAAAAGTTTCAGCCAGCCAGAGGCTGGTCAGGGGCCCGTCACTGAAATTTCGCTCGCCCGATAAAGTTGCGCTGAATCTGTCCAAATATTTCATCAGGCTATTGAGTTTGTGCCAACGGGTTTATCTTTAGTTTTCGTCCAGCACAACTTTTGCTCACTGTGCACATATACAAGTATACATAAGTAAGTATATATACATACATATATACGTTTTTGTTGTATTATTCTTTTTATTTATTTTTAATGAAGCAATATACTCTGGCTCGGCGCTGTCCTAATATATTTAAGTGCACTTGATGCTCGAGCTTATGTCAGATAACATGCGGGAGTAAGTGCCTCGCCGCTGCTTGTAAGAATCAATAGGAGCATATAAACCTGATTTATTATAACAAAAATCCGCTATTTATATATTTTCTCTTATGCTCTCTCCACTTCTGTCCTTTTTAGGTAACGAGCTCGAATGCCACTCAAGTACTCATACGCAACGTGGGCTTCGGTCTTTCCGGCAACTTCTCCTGCGAGGTGACCGCCGATGCGCCGCTCTTCTCCACAGCCACTGCACTGGCCGTCCTGCAGGTTGTAGGTAAGTTAAAAAGAAAAAGAGCTCAACTAGAAGAAAAAATTGGAAATCGTCAGCTAGTCATCCGCTAAAGGCGATAGCTTAATCGAGCTCAGCGGCATTTCGTTTGACATTTGCGCCATCTAGGATTACTCGCCCCAAGTCTGAATTAAGTACCTGTAGCGACGACGCCTTCAACGGAGAGGAAGGAAAATAAAAATAAATAGGTTTTTGTTTGTGGCAAAGGTAATTTGGGGTTGCTCGGGCCACGCCAGCTGTCGACGCTTTAAAAGTTTTGCGAGCCGAGCAACTTGTGCTGGCAATTGCGTCATTAACAGGCTATTCCGCTTAGCAGATAAATGCCGTGCCGGGGCGGCGCTGGCTGCCAGCTCACCTGGCGAGGTCATTTGGTAGTCCTGTCCTGGCGCGTCAAGCATTTGACGGTCTCATGCGTTTTAAATGAGCGTGCGATGGCACGCTCGGAATTAGGAATTTAATCAGTACAGCAGTGTCAGGCCAAAGACAATGGCAGCAAGTCGAACAATTATTTAGTTTTTCATTGAAACTCGCTTGAGAGCAGCAACAGCAATCATGTCGAATGGAGAGAGTGAGAGAGAGAGCAATTGGCAATAAATGCCAGCAACAATTGCCAATCCATTCGTTAACTAGGCAACTGGGTCAATAGCTCATAAATGGCATGCCGTGCGTATGCGTAATCTCGGCTGTGTTCTGGGCGTGGCCCATGGCAGCAGCCAGCAAACATCGCTCAGCAGTTAATCTCTATATTCGTTTCGCATTAAATATTCCAGAAATTCGCACTGACAGCTCAATGCTGCTGCAAACGCTGATTTTTATACCACTTGCCGCGCAATTTTCTTTCTGCTCCACTTGCCCCATCCCTCCCCCGTCCCGCAGTCCCTTGCCACTGCCAGCCACGTCGCATCGCTCTTGAGCTGATGTGTTTGTATGATTGAGCACTTGCCATTGCGAGAGCTGGGTATCTGGGTGGCTCTGTGGCTCTATGGCTGTGCGGCTCTGTGGCTGCTTGCTTATTGCCCGCCATTAAACATTTAGATGTGCGCGTCTGGCGCGTAACTGGCTGCCTTTATTAGATTGCCATTACCTCAACATCTAACCAGTCCGTCTGCCCAGTCGCCCAGTCGCCCGGTTGCCTGGTCGTCAGATCGCCTGACTGGTTGCTTGGTTGCCTTCGCTGCTCTCGCTGCCTTCACTGCCTTCGCTGCTGGGTTAGCTCAATATATTTAACGCCGCATTTAGCTCGCTTAATTGGCCGCTTTTGCTTAACTGGCATCAAGGGATTAAAGCTTTGATCAAGCATTTGCTTTAAATTCATGAGGTTAGCGCTCGCAGCAGCTATGCCCAGGGCGGTTCAAGGACGCTCGGCTCGGTCTATTGCCTTAGTTATTCAAGTTTCATTTAATGTTGAGGCTTTTAATTGGCTGCACGTGTTGTTCTTGCTGTTTGTTGTTGTTGTTGCTATTATTCCTGCACATACATCAATATGAGATAAACCAGCGCGCCTGACACTCTGACAGCCTGATATCGTTGTCTGAAAAGTCAGACGCGTGCTAGCTCCTCTTATGAGTGTCCCTCTGTGTTTGTGTGTGTGTGTGTGTGTGTGTGTGTGTGCTTGTATTTACTATATCTTTGTCTTATACCAACTAAGCATTTAAGGCTTAATGTCGTCGACACTAAGACCCCAATAACTTGCGGGCTAGACAATAAATTACTGCGAACCAAACCGGAGCAGGCACGAAGCATATTGAGTATACGCCCATCATAACAAAGCCAACCGAACGCTTAGGTGCGAGCATGACTGTTGCTTTAAGCAAACACATTACAGCCAATTACGTGTTTTATGAAGCTTGTGAAATCGCTTTAAGCATTAACAATTAATTTATAATTGAGGCCAATTAAGTATACATAAAATACATAATTAAATATAAAACTATTCAAAATTAAATGAAAATATTGCAAACATTCTTTGCGTAAATGCTTTAAAGAGCTTTGCATGCGATGCAAATTGAAAACAGCTTAATTGATATGGATTTAGGTTGGACTTTATTTTAGTGGAGCAATTTATTGTTATATGTGGAGATGATATACAAGATAATATGGTGTTTGAGAAATCAATGATATGTTCGAGTCCCAGTTTGTTTTATACACCATATGAAATCGAATCGTTGCATGTAAAATTCAATGTGCATATTTGGAATATGGAACTTCTGGCCATCTCTATATAAAAAACCAGCAATATACAACTGCATAAACTTAATTTATAAATGGACTTGAGTCCATTTGAGCCTGTGTCCTATGAAATGTGTATACGGAGAGTCTAACAGGATTTTTAAGAAACCAAAGTTATTTGATATGAATATTTAAAATATGCGTCTCTCGGGCTATATGATTGTCTCTCTTTGCAATTGGTGTCCTTAGAGGATATATATAGCATGCTCTTGAGGCAGCCAACGACATGCGACATGAATATTTGGAATATGTGGCTTTAAGTTTATTGATTTGCTGGCTGTGAATGTTATCTTTCCTGTTTTTCGCCGTTGCGTCCTTCGCTCTCTGTTGGCTCGCTTATGTTTTATGCATTTCCGTTGGCTCATTGCGGGTTCCGTTTAGTGCCGCTCACTCATTCACTCATTCATCCACTCACTCACTCATTCACTTATGCAGCAGCTCGTTTATTCATGCGCCGCTGTCCTTGAAGGAAATGGTCCTGAGGTTTAATCGTGTGTTAATGAGCTCAAGTGGCAATCAGATTGCGGCCCAAGATGCCGAAACAAAGGCGAGGCAGAGGCAAATGCGACTGCGTCGCGCTGCCTTACACATAAAATAAACACTTTGTCCTTGCGCTTTGTGGAGAATGGAGGTGGCAGGAAGAGTGGAATTGGTAGCGGCAACTGCGACCATTTGCCTGGTGAGGCCTAAGCAAAATGACGCTGACGCTGACGCTGGCGTCGCCAGAAGCCCCGATCCCATAGTCGCTGGCATTTGAATGCCAAGGCAAGTGGAGCAAAGTTATGCTAATTCACGCTTTCATTAAGTCACAATGGCGCACGGCTTCCCGGCGCAGCAGGCGACCCAGATGCCTTGGCACATGGCTGTGCAAGTTTGTGGATAGTTGGCAAACATTTGAAGGGCTTAAACTTTAATAACTTAATGACATAAGTCAAGCGGGGATCCGCTCAGCGAGGTGCCGACCAAAAGCAAAGTAGGCTGGTCAGCTGCTAAATTGAACTCGAAGCAGCTCCTCTCAACTGACCCTCATTAGGAGCCTTTTGACGCAACTGCAAAGCCAACGGAAAAGGTCGGTCAGAAAAAAGAGAACAGAGAACCGCAACAGAACAGAGGAATAGTTGGGCCGAGTTGGTCAGAGACCCGGTCGCTGTGTGTCTATATGTGGGCGAACGGATTAGAAAGCGAATCGCCTTAAGCTACGTCGAGAGCCGGGACACAGACGAGCAGCATGAACTCAAAGTTCCCGCTGCCTTTGCCGCTGCCTTTGCCGTGGCTGCTGCCCGCTTTGCCATGGAAATTACTTTCTTCATTAGTTACTTTTGTTGCTGTTGCTTTTGGCTGTCTGTGACTTTGACTTTGCTTTCGGCTGACTTAATTAAAAAGTTGAGTGTGGCTACGTCTGATGTTGCGGTTGCTGCTGAAGGTTTCGGCTTATGGCCAGCGACTTCTGGCGGCGCCACTTATAGGTCTAATAATATTTTTGTAAAATGAGCCCGTGGCAATAGCCTGCCACGGTCCATCAGCATTCATACAGATATCTATATATTATATATCACATCTTTATGCCATTGCAGAACTGCCCGACAAACGTCCTCAACTGTATACGGAACACACGCGATATGAGCCCGGCGACGTGCTACGCGCCAACTGCAGCACGCCGCCATCTCGTCCACGTGCGGAGCTAAAGTTCACGATTAACAATATGGTGGTAAGTACAGATACGCAGAAGTGCTGAGAAGCAGAGTTCTTAAATCTACTTTTCTAGCTAAAAGGATATGCAAAGAGTTTGCTTTAAAAGTTCTCTTGAATTGGGAGGGAAATAGTACAAGAAAAAAATGAATGAGAAAATCTGACAGCGGGTCAGAGATTATTAATGTTCAAAGCTGTTGAATCCTTTGAAGTTGTGGTCTATTCCGATGAGAAATGAAAATGAAAACGAAAACGAAAATGAAAATATGCCAGCAGTGACGGGCTGAGGCACTCCAGCTGCCCACTCCACTCCAGCTGGCTTTTGTCCGCCTGCAAACATGGCGTATGCGCAATTTTACACTTTGCCAGCTAGCGTACACATTGTCATGCGTATTAACAATGCATGCAGCACAGCTGTGGCCTCCTTCTTGTCGTTTGGTTACTGTTAAAACGGATTTCTATGCGGTCCCAGCAAACATTACAAACACCACATCCTTTGTGAGGCGACCAGCCTCCAGTTCTCGGCACCCAGCTGCTAGTCCTTCATTGCATTTCGGTCGGCATGTGCCGCACGTCACAGCTGTGCGCCTGTGGAAGGCTGTCATTTTGGGTGAGTTCTCACTCTTGGCAGGGGCTGCTGGTCTCCCTTGTCGGCGCTGCCTAGCTGTCGGAGCGAAGAATTTTGCTTCACAGTTTTATGAATATGCATGCCCTGGCATCATGGTCGCTCCTGCTCCCGCTCCTGCTCCTGCTGCAGCTGCAGCGGCTCACCTTCAATTTCTATATAAATTGGCGGCTGACGGGCTCCCGTACAACTCCCGTAAAATGTCAAGAGCAGCTAAATGGTCAAGTTTAAGATTCTCTCATCCGGTCGGACAGCCGACAGTCCCTTCTCTGGGAAGGGCAGCCGGAGGGCGAGGCTGCAACGAGAGTGCTTACACGACGGCCCACAGACACACATACGTTCAGGCATCAACTGATTGCTGATGGATCGAGGGTGCATAATTTTACATCTCTTATCGAGTGCTTGTGCCATTCTCTTATGGCTCGCACTATGAGCTGCGAACGGAGCTGCAGTCGATAAGCTTGAGCTCCAGCTGCAGAGCTTAAAGATGATTGATTGGTTGAAGTCAGCAGCAGCGAGCATATCCAAGCAGCTGTCATGCGTTGTCCAAGTGACCCAGATATGGGATGCTTGTTGATGTCCCTGATGCTAGCTAAAAATCTGTTATGCCAAGGCAGTACTTGTATATAATTAGAGATGTTTTAGTATTTTTTTATTGAATGCAATTAAAATGCTGAAGGAACTTGAAGCATTGAGGTTTCATTACCAGCCCGCTTTCTGCATGACTTCATATTATCTATATAGCTGCTTGGCTTCGGACAGTCTCGAAGTGTTGTCATGCCATTGAAAAATGGTTGCCACATTCGTGCAGTTTGGTAGCTAGCATGCGCACATTAAACATGATAAATGAATTCAAATCATTTGCACCGCAATAACTCGAACGCAGCGTGAGGCAAGTGGCAAGCAGCAAGCAGCAAGCGGCAAGCGGCTTCACTTCTTGCTACCAACAACAACAACAGCAACAATGTGCAAGCAGCTTCGCTGTTGCTAGAAAATGAAATGATAGCTTATCGGGAATGGCAAGCCGGGGTGCGAGCAGTTGGCAGTTTTGGCAAGTGCCTCTGCCATTGCCATTACCATTGCCAGTGCGAAGGAAGGCAACAAACCGTAAGCAAACGTGGCAGACGTTGACTAAAATTGAGTAGAAAACGATACCGCAGGAGAAGGAAGATATATTGAAATTGCCGATCACAGGAAACAAATGAATATTTCATGCTGTGCAAATCAACATGAGGCCGGGGGAACACGGGCGGTACACACACACACACACATACACACACACACACATACACATTGTAGCATATTTGGCATGCCAGCAGCAGGAGCTGGAACTTTAGCAGGCGGCAACAAAGTTTACGTTCGAAGGTAACCTGCCCAGGAGCTGTGCAAGCGGCATCTGGAGCCGGAGCTAAACTTTATGTTGACAAAGTTTTTTGTGGTAAAAAGCCACATCAGTAATTTGCAGAGCATACACAAATACCAACACACACACGCACACACACTGGCACACGTAACTGTGACATATGTGGCCTGGTTTAGGGATGCTGTGGCTTCGTTTTCGGCTGGCTGCTTCCGCCGGGCGAGGCATTAATCATTTGGCATGTAAATTGCCAATTAATAACTGCTGCATGTCATTTGGCATTCGGCTTCAAAATGTTACGCAAATTTCCAGGCAGGCAGGCAGGCAGGCAGGCGGAACGGATTGGAGTTAGAGACGCCACGACTGGGGCCAACGAACCTATATATAAACAGTGCCAACTCTTAGGCGCATTCGCATGGAGCCCTTAATGAAGACAAATAGCACTTGGGCCCTGCCAAATTTAGCGGAAAATTGAAAAAAGCTTCTCCCATGGCAGGTCGTATAGTATTTCCATCCAGCCAGCCAGAGAGTCAGCCCACAAACCCTTTGCGCCAAAGTTCTTGGCAACAGCCCCAAGATATTGCAGTGCCATTCACAATTTATACGTTATCGATACGTTTGCAATGCATTGCATACAGACAAAGGACAAATAGTACACAGCTCGGCCAGGACATGTTATAAAATATAGTAATTGTATATATATATTTATTGTATGACAGCAGTTGGGCTTAGAGCTTAGATATTAGCAATAATTGCTGTTCATATTGCCTGAGAAAGATTGTAGCAAGAGATGACAAATCAGAGATAGCCTTGATAGTTAGTGAAGAGACAGTAATAGTTATACATGGATAGAGAATCACCTGCCTCAATAATACGGTAAAGCTAAGAGACGAAATGGGAATTATTTTTCATATTCCTAATATAGAATTTCCAACTACGTCTTAAGAGTTTTCTCTTAGGCCTTATTTTTGCTACTATTTTCTGTCTCTGCAAGTTTGAATTCGTAATAATTATTTTGAGAGCTTATATTCTCAGAGTTCACTTATACAGGCTTTTGAATGAGAAAACATATTTAGTATTTTTTTTTCAAGAATTATTGATGCTTTACGAAATGCAAACTAAAATAAAACGCTCGGCTACAAAATAATTCAAACACTTTCAGAGCATTGCCATTCCGAGTGGCACGTCTTTTTATCAGCATTTGTAAGAGATGCAAAGGAGCAGAGCCCTCTGACAAATGCACAAAACTATTAAGAATATATAATTTCTCTTGTTTGCAAAACATAAGTAGAATGCGAAAGCTGTGTGTGTGTGTGTCTGTTGCTAAAATGCATGCGCATAAATAAAAATTATTTATATAAGCGAAAATCCTTTTCCACACACGAATACGCCCGCACTGACACACACACACACACACACACTCGCATATGCAGAGCATAGTGCAGATCAGAACAGGAACCAGCCAGACCAGAGCGCAGCGAGCCAACAGCAAAATTTAGCCCTGGCTACAATTTTACAGTGAATTGCACTAAATAACTGCCATTAAGCATAAAAGCTGTTCTCGCATGAAGGAGCTGCTGGCAGCATTTAAGCTAAATGCAAGTTTAAGCATCTTGGAGCTGGCGCAAATAAAGTGGACTTACGCAGTGAGGATTCACACACACACACACACAGAGAAAGAGAGATAGAGTGGATGTGGACATGATGTTGGACATGCACAGAAAACGGACATGTCCCAATACAAACGCAATTCGTATAAATGGCAAAGTGGCGCTTATATGCAAGGAGAAAAGAGAAAGAGAGAGCGAGAGCAAGAGAGAGGGAAGGGGAGCTAAAAAACTGGCTAAAACTTTCATCAATGCGTCGTCTGGCGCATTTGAGCTGCATGTCCTGCCAGCATATGCCTCTGCCCTCCCCACATCCGCCTCCATATGCGCTGCCACAGCCAGTGCCACTAATGTGCGCAATTGTAAGACGCTTCCTTCTTGGGATTTTGTTTGTGCTGTACTCCAGACGCCGTCTCCTGCCGTTGCCCGGCCTGCCGCTGCTTTTTGCTGCATTACATTAACACAGATAAAGTTCCTTGATACATAATTTCCATGCATACGCAAAGAGCCGCCAGCCCGAGCTGTCTGGATTGCCGGCACATGTGGCCAACATCCCATGGCCAGCCAGCCAGCCAGCCGCCCCAGGCTCTTTAGGAGCGCGCTGTGCCAACTTGCAAATGGCGACAAGATGCTAGCTGGCAAAACTTTTTGCTTGTCCGAAAACAAACAAAAGTATAACGAGTACCGGGGCTAAACGTTGCCAAATGTTGTCGTTGTCGTTGTCTTTGTCGTTGTCGTAGTCGTTGTTTTTCCCGTTGTTTTTCCATCATAGTTCTTCTGGCTGTTGTTGTTGTTGTCTTAAAAATATGCAAATGCATTTGGAAGCGCTGAATAAACAGGCAGAGTGTTCAAATTATATGTCTCCGCTTCTAGCCTATGCACTCTATTTCATTTACCATTCCATTACCTCTCTCTCACACAAACACTCTCTCATTCTCTCTCTCTTTCTCCGTTTCTTTTTGTCTCTTCCGTACAGATAACGAATGCCGAGACCCAGTTTATTCGCACAATTGATAATCTGATTGCATCACGCATCTCGCTCAAGCTGCAGCTGCAGGGCGTGCACTTCTCGAGCGTTAATCCGGGGATTTACAGCAGCTCATACGGCGTGAACTCTGTGTACGGCCATGGCGGATCCATGTATATGCCGCCCAGTCCGGGCAGCTTGGTGCTGCGCTGCACCGCACAGATTGGCGACCTGTATCAGGAGTATAAGGAAATTGAATTGGGCACCCCACAGAAGGATCCGGTCCCGGCACGTGGTAAGTTTACATATTCGAGCACAATTCGAGTGTGTGTTTGTGCTCTGGCATTCGGAGCATTCTAAGCTAATTACGCCATAATATATATGTGCCTTCCGTTTCCGTTTTTGTCAACTCTTCGTGAATGCCCTCTGCTCGCTGGCTTCCGGCTGCAGTTACGCTCTCATCCGGCTCGAGCGTGAAAAACTTCTTCTCCACGTATTTCTCGACATCGGCGGCATCCCGACGCGTCGGCGGCATCCAGTTGGCGCCCATTACAATGACGATGATAGCGCTGCTTGTCAGTGGCGGCGCCCTGGTCGGCCGCACGATCCGCGAGCTGGTGGCCCAGCTCGTGCCAGTGGACGCCCGACCCGCCATCATGCATTCCAGGTCCAGTGAGGGGCGTCTGTCCACGCTGCCCCGCCTCCAAGGCGCCACTGCAGCGGCTGGCCTGGCCAGCTCGGGGCTAATTAGCTCGGGGGCTAGCCGCGGGCAGCAGCTGGAGCTATTTGTGTGTGTTACAAATTAGTTGAATTGTTAAGTAATTAAATTATAAATTATATTTTATATGCGGTTGAATTAAATAAGTATGTGCGTGCAGTCGACGCTCAGTTGGTTTAATTAAGGCTTCGTTTGATTTCATCCATTTATTTTCAATTTTCAATTATCAATTTTCAATTTATCGATTCGATAGCTTTTAATGAACTCTACATTTTTGAATGTGGCGTCTACACTAGCGAGCTAAAAACCAAACTACTTTTAAGCGAAACCATTCGAAGTTAGCCTAGTTAAGCAGAAGAAACATCAGATAATTCCATGCATCCATTAAATCAATGTTCACAACTAAGAGTCAAACTATTTATTAAATGTGCTAACTAACAAAACCGAAAGTCGAATATATGTGTTGAAACCAAGCGAAACGAAGAAAACCTAAAATTGAAATGGAAATGCAAATGCAAAAGCTAAGCAGAGAGAACATAATGTGTGTAAAATATATTTAAATGATTATAAATGAAATCTACATGTAAAACGATCGCCTTGTGAGGGCATATTGTAAATGGTGGTGAAATTGCATAAAAATAAACAAAAACAGTGTTAATTTTAAAAAAACAATTCATGAATCTGTGTATGTGTTCTTCTTCTTCAATTGCTGCTGGCTGCTGGGCAGTTTGAGTCTTGATGCATTCATGCGAATAGCATGCACTTTTCATTCAATTCAATAAATTTTGTGCAAGTATTTGCATGATTTTTGGCGTTGCGAAATCTCGCACAACATTCCGGCAACAAAGGCAAAGGCAAAGGCAAAGGCAACTTCACAGTGACTGCCTCTGCTCATTGTCTGCGTTCGGTTTGCCTGGAAAGTGTAGAAAAAAAAAATCACTACAAAAAAAAAAAAGAAATAGAAATAGAACTTGCCTTTACGCAGCGGAAGTGCCAAAAGGAGTACAATATAAGGAATCTAGTCCATTGCATTGTGTGTGGCATGCTTTTTAGTTGCCGTTTCCGTTCCATTCTGCATGCGCATTTTGTACTTATTATTTTCTCTTCTATTATTTTTTTTTATTTCTATTTTTTTTCTGCTGCAGTTCGCCTGGAAAATTATTGAAGCGCGCTCTGCTGCTGTGCTTTCTTTTCAAAGAATTCCTGGAGTTCCCTTAGTCCAAACTTTTGGCCTGACACAGAATATTTCAAAGGGGCCGCTCGCTCACTCGATCCATTTGGCAAGTAAAATAATTACACTGCTCTACACAACAATACTTTCCCCTCTGTATGTATGTGTGCATGTTTGTGTGTGTGTGTACTGTATACAACATTGTAGCATTTCCCGTTGCGCACGGAAATAGTGCAAAAGAAAACAAAAATAACAGACTCGTTGCTGAAATGATTTCTGTCTGTTTTGATGTCGACGCCATCTGAATTTACATTATTTGGATAGAAAATAGTGCACAGCTAGCTCGCACAATAAACCAATGCGAAAGGTCTAACAAAAATATTACTTCAATTTAATTGCATGCTCCAAAGCTGCCATTGATTTCGCTACAGCATATTGTCGTCTCTCAACAATTCAAGAGTTGTTTTCTATTACGAAATGCACTTCAGATATATTTTCATATATTTTATTTGAATAATTCGACGATGTTGTAGAGACCTTCGAAAACAAAACGCAATCAACCCTGAATGTAATACTTGAGATGCGTAGTACGACTGTTGTGTTTATTTAAATTGTTATAAAATTAATTTTAAATAAATGTTAAATATTTTTAAAATTAAAAAAAAGAATAAATTTATAGAATTGAAAAGAAAAAGGAAAAGAATTTATACATTTATCTCATATTTATTTTATTGTTTATTTATTATTGTTGTTGTCCTGTTTTCTTTGATTTATATACACTTGATTTCGTAGCCAACAATCGATAGGGATCAAGAGAGAGAGTCAAGAAATTTTACAGTAAGTCGCTGCCAACAGCGTAAACACACAAGTTCGACAAGTTCAGAATGATTCAGGTGCAAATTACATTCTCAGGTATGTATCAAAATAATTCACTTAAAACTGGGCACCCACACAGCTTGTTACCTTTCGCATGACGCATATGGAATTCATCCAGCAAGTTCTTCGTTCAGCTGGTGAGTCGACGAGTCGAGTGCCAATCCAATGAAATAGTTTGAAATGCTGCACCAAATATTGAGGTAAACATGGAACGAAAGAGGGTGAAATTGAGCCAGAGCTGAGATTGACTAAAACATATGCTGTACTCAAATGGAAGCCTTGCTTTCTAATTAATCTGATGTTTCAAGATATGTAAATTATGAAAAAAGAGAAAAGAGTGTTTCAGCTGAGTAAAATTCACATTCTTTTATGCCGCTAAAATAGTTGGATGTGTTTCAGTCAAGTAGACCAGCAGAAGTCTAGAGTAAGGCGAAGAATCCTAGGAATACTTATCAAATATGGAACTACAAAATGGCTTAGCGTAACTTAATTGAGTTATTTTGGAGTGTTCCTAGTACTCCCAACCTAAAATTAATCAGATATATGCATAATATTTATAATAATAGCATAATAATTATATAATCTAATATTTAGCAAATCAATAGAAAAATCCAAAACTAATTAAGTCATTCATATTTTGCAGTTTCTGACACTCATTCATGTTGTGAATATAATTAGTGAGTATAATTAGAGTTTTCCAATATTTACTGCCAGTTCGTGCTCGCTCGCAGAGTCGAATCAATCATTTGGGTACAAGCTGCCGGCGCATCTGTTGGCTGCTAATACTTGCATTCCAAACACCAATCAAATCTTTCACTAATTCTTTCGCACATTTGGCTGTTCGAGCTGTGCAATGCCAAAATAACATGCGACCCGCGACAGATATCCGTGACGAGGCTGTGTGCGCTACGTACATTGAAATTTCATTATCCCTAATTAGTTTCCAGCTTCGTGTGCATGTGTCCAGTGTGTTGTCACTGCGTTGTCCGTCGTCCGATGTCCGCAACCGGCTTACGTGCAGCAGGGCCAGCAGCCACCATTAAAATGGCGCTGACAGAGGTGCACTCCGCCATTGGCGATGGCTTTGGCAGTGGCCCTGGCAGTGGACAGCGGAATGATGCAGTGCTTCTAATTGGAGTCAGCTTATTTGCATTTACATTTCGTTTGGCATTCGTCTGTTGACAGTTATCCGCTGGCAGCGCACGGGACATGCAAAAGCCATGTAGCCCATGCCGGACATGTGGGATGGTCCGGTGGGGGCCCGAGCTTATTTATGTACGACGAATTAGCACGGCGAACGTGTTGTTTACGCTTCAGCTGAATAATAATTCCGTTAGCTGATATTGCAATTATTTTTTACTGACTGCAGTGACTGCAGAGCTCAAATCAATTAGCTACGCGCATCGAATGACAAAATACTTGCCCCATCATGTTCATACATCCCACACGCTGTGGTCTACTCCATTCAGTGTGTTGCGCGGATTGATGGAAGACAACCTCACTCTCACTCTCACCCTTACCCTCACACACACACACATACTCACGCACACTTAGAAACACTAAAGCGCTGTTGTTACTGCTAGAGCAGGGCTTGTAGGGGAGTCAATTGATTCTATTGATTCATAGCGGTTTTATGGCGCACCCTGACAGCCCTCGAGGCGTCATCCTCGACCAGAGCTAAACTCTGCTGACTTAACCGCGGCTCGCCTGCTGCACCCGGCGTTATTGTTCGATTATTGCTGGCATCTGCACTCACTCTTCACTCCCTGTCACGCTCACCACACTCACCATAAATAGAGCTGGTTAATTTTTGCAGTTTTTATGTTTGGCGTAGAGACTGCGTTGCGGGAGAAGTCCTTAAAGAGCACACAAGCTTTTGCTCCTGTAATTACTTTGCTCAATAGTGTGAATACAATACAATGTTGTGTCCTGAGGTGACTAATTGATTCCTGAGATTGCCCAGTTGTTCCGAGCTTACCCTGAATTGGCTTGCTGCAAATAGTCTGGCAAGAGCGCTAAACGACCTTAAAGTCGGTTAAAATTTAAAGCCAATGCTGAGAGTTATATAGGTATACGATAGAATCTGGTTAGAACGGAACTGAAGGCATATTCAGAAGACGCTTTAAGCGTAATAGTTAGCTCATATACCTTGTCTAAAGACTAGAATTTTCGTCGCAATAACCGTATGGGTTCATTAGAACCCGATTCTACTGTATACATGTATATATATGACCATAAGCGAATAGATGGGCACTGGCCATTTATCGATCATTGAAATTTCCTTTAATCTGATCCGTTTTATTACATGTTCTTTATGTTAACAACTTTTAGAATGCATCAAAAATTAATGCTTGCACTGCACAAGTATTGCCATTATCATATATACACATACATCTATGTACATGTATGTATGTATGTATGTACGTGTAATCGTCTGACAAACAGCTGAAGCGTTATTAATGTGAATGCGTATTAATTGTGTATGACTGGATTGATTAATGCCGCAAGGAGATGACGGAGCGATAGAGGCGTCGCATTCGGAGTTTTGCAAAATCCATTTTCAGTGGTTTCAAGCGAGGCCAGAGCCACTGGCAGCTGTGCCCTGTGCCTTATAAATAATCATAACGAAATGCTACTTTCAGTTGTCAGTCGAGCAATGCAAGTGGAGCTGGACTCAGTGCAGCTGTCCGGCAAGAGACGCGTCCGCATTGACACCATGTGGCTACTTGGGCGCTTTTATCGCTCATATTTTCATTTAAGTAAAGTGCACAATGCAAATAAATAAAAGTATATTGCGAGCGGAAATGCAGTGGGTGACTGTGGGCTGGCTTGGCCGAATCTTTGGCCCAGCTGCTGGCCCGCCAAATTGCTGGACATCTGTGACTTACGACAAGCGACACGATGTGTCATAACTGGTCATGCTTGTGGGCGTGGCTGTGGGCTGGCCAGTCCCCAATGGAGCCGCACACAAACGGACCGCCGGGTTGGCCGCGGATATACGCACTTATTAAAAGGTAAAAAAAGAGAGCAATCGATAAAAAAAGTAAAAAATAAAAAGCAAGCATATCTGGCTCATGGACCAAATGTGCACTGAGAGGAAGATGTTGTTATTGTGCGCCATTTGGGAATCGAATCGCATCGAATCGACTGAAATCTCAGTTGTCAGCTGCCACTGGTGAAACGCAGCGTCAGTCGGTTGCTTAATGTGCGTGCAGAGTGTAAATAGCATGAAGATATGAGATCATTCCATATTTATTTGCAATGCATCCCTGGCTACGAGTCAAGTAGCCTTTGACGAATGCGCACCTTAATTGGAGATTTCGCAATCAGGGCGGCAATAAAAAGAAGGGTTCATTAAATAAAAACCTGAAATCTCAATTATGCTACTATTTGGGCCGTGTTGCACAATTCAATGGCAACTTAAGAACGTCTCTCATGTCCGAGTGCTGGATAAACACCTTAAATGGTCCGATGACGCAATTTTAAGCTGCAGCAAAGTTAGGCGAGCTTTGAGCCTGGTCAGTGATCCGTGTGTGTTCGCTTGACGTCCGAGAGGTCCTTAACATATCCTGGCCCTGCCGCCCATGCGCACGCCCCTCTCTAATAAACTTCAAAAATAA